CAAACACTGATAGCGCCAAGTTGGTTACCCACCATCGGTTTCACTTCCGGAAGAGATGTGTCTCCTTTGGTTTGGTGATCAATGAAGCGCTGTTTTCTATATAACTTAGTGACACTGCCTCATCTCCCATCAACTCATGCGTAATGCTCGAAAGATGGATTGTTTCAATAAGAGAAATCGCTCAAGGCAACATGCATCAAAAAACTGCATTTCTGTCAGGTTCACAAGGAGAAGAGGGAGTGCCACATGCCGCATTTCAACTTGGAAGGGAAAGAGTTCTTAAGTATTGACTGACAGATAGCTTCGCAGGACTTGTGTTAACATTTGCATGCTTTCGTCTACCAACTGGGCAGAATTGAGGAAAATTTTGCGTGACAGCTTGTATCTCGTGCTCACTAAAATCTTTTTAGAGCTTTCAAAGTATCACTTGAGTATTACAATGGAGCGACCTTCGACTTCAGAAAACTTCGTAAGTAAGACGGTTTGGTCATTTCTACGCCATGTAATTTCCCCCGTTATAGTCCAAGATTGCCTGTCGCCTTCTTCTGGGTAGTAGCGGTTTTAATCAGAACGAAAATGCGGTAACTTTTGCTAAGAAATACATCATCTTTCTTTGAGTCGACTATTTATAGAGCAAATCTCGTCCACCCTCTGACGATAGGACAGCCCGCGGCGTGTTAACGGTTCAAACTTTCACATATTCAATGATGTTTTGCTGTCTTTCGAATATAAGTTGTTTAGAGCAATACCAGCGAGAATATAATGAGAGATTCCGGTAACGAAGAAAACGAATATGAACTTATAGTGAGTTAACTGGTGAAAACTGATTACAATCATCGTTCACTTCTCACAAAAAGCCATCTATGTATTACACAATCTAACTGTAGGTGGAGGAAGAAAGTCCGGAAGAGAGAATGGGGCAAGTGATAAGAAGATTGAAGCTGAGTATGATCGAAGAACTTTTGTCCGACCCTATCTACTCAACGGAACCGGAGAGAAGAACACCCCTATCCAGCAGAGAGATAGCTATAATTGGAAGAGTGAGGGCCTTCTGTGAGGAAATCAAGAGAAGACTGGGAGAAGACGCTGCCAACACAGTTTTCCACAAACCCGCAGAGCTGGCTGCCACGATCTGTGGAGTCGCCCGTTCAACTGTTTACAAACATCGCGGCCACTCCACGCAACCCTGCAATGACCCCAAAGAGAGCAAGATAATGAATAGAAAGGCTCTGAGAAAGGAGATTGTAGACAAATATGGAGAAGAATGGGGTAGTGTAGTCAGACACTTCATACACGGTAAGCTGAGGGCCGAGGAATACTTCACGATCGAAGGACTGAGAGACGAACTCGCCGCATTGCATCCAAACTTCCCGATGCACAGAACAACTTTTTACCACTTCCTCAAAGGCATCGGTTTCACCTACAGGATCAGCAAAGCACAGCCTTTCATCTTCGAGCATCCAAACTTGATCAAGTGGAGGACCTCCTACCTTGCCGCAATAGAAGAAGCAAGAGCACGCGGAGATTGTCTCGTCTATATGGACGAGACATGGGTGTTCGATTGTATGAGGAAGAAGAGAGGTTGGGACGATCGGACAATTCCTCGCTTTGCCTCTGACGACATCCTGAGGGAATACTCCTGCGGGAGAAGTATCGCCAAAGATAAGGGCAAGCGCGCAATCGTCATCAGCGCTATCACTGAGGAGGGGATCGTACCCGGTTCCACGAAAATCATCATAAGTGGTACACGATCGACCCAGGAAGATTATCATCGTGACATGAATCACGAAATATATGAAGAATGGCTTCGCGAAAGTGTACCGCGCATGAAGGAGGTCGCGAACGGGCGTTGTCTATCGTTAGTGATAGACAACGCCCCTTACCACAGCCGACAGCTGCAAAAGGTATACGCTTTCCTTTCAAATAACTTACCGCTATCAACCTGAAATTGAAGTTGCCTTCGTCATCGTCCGCAAAGAAAGAAATTGAAAATTACTTGCGCTCGAACAATGTATTAATAGCGGAAAGTAGCACCAAAAGCGATCTGCTAAAAGAGGTAACTAGGCAGAGAATCGGTACCAAAATAAGCTGAGGTCATTTTAGCTTAAAACATTCATATCAGTCCGAGGCGGGCGAACCAGGCTGCGCCAATATGCTACGGAGAAGATCTGCAGCGAACTGGGGGTGGCAGTGATAAGGCTTCCGCCTTATCACTGCTTTTTCA